GTTGCAAATTAAAACTTCCTCCACAGGGTTTATGATACAGCTGTTGGTCATGTCGGCGGTTCGGGTTGAATGAAGGTTTGGCCTTCAAGTTATGGGGTCCACGGCAGGCTTTTTGAGCTAAGTGGGTGACAACTTAGTGAGGATGATGCTGATACGGTCCGAAATGCCAAAAGGCCTGCGGGAATCGCTGGTCCTATACCATACCTGTAAGGTTTGATTCAGGAAATGCAGCCTGCAGCCGCAGGACGTTTGCCAGGTTAAAGGCGCAAACCTGGACATACACGTACACATGCACATACATACACATATATTTTGCATTTACAGGTACATATATATATATATATATGTATGTATAAGACATATACACATATATACATGCATGCCGCCGTGCGTACGTACATAATATAGACACACAGCTACATGCATGAAACATACACAAGGTATTGTACCTTGTACATACTCATTCATTTCAGTGTTTTTGATAACGCATGTTCAACCATCAGGGTTTTACAAGAGACCATGCTGCCCCGGCATCAGTACTTCTTCTCGGTTTGTCAGGTCTTGTCGCAGTGGTAAGAACAGAGAGGCTTCTTGATAAGAAGTGGCACGATTTTTTCATTTTTGGCCGTCACTGTTCGCAGCTTCCCCCGGTTGCGAACGGCTCCATGTGGCACTTGTCGCTTATCTGTCTCTCACTCTTGCTCTCTTCCAGGCCGGAGTGCGCTTGAAGCCGTGCCAGGAGGCCCAGCCGCTTGCAGCCCCGAGGTTCGGCTTCTCCAATCCGATGGCAGGAAAAGGCGTGGACTGCTCAGGCGGTGTGAGGTCCGCACGGTCCGCTTCCGCCAACAAGGCTTTGCCTTTGCACCGGATGGAGACCCAGCCCTCCTTGGGGCCTTGTCCTCTCAGCAGCCTGTAGCGAAGCCGGGAGCCTGCGCCCGAACTCGAGCTATCTGCCTCGTGCTGAAGCAATGCGAGCCAGGGAGGAAGAGTGTGAGTCATCAGCATCACTGCAACACTCTGTGGGTTGGGGCCACGACTAGCGCCAAAACGAGGGCGCCGAAGCTGAGGCGTCCGAGGACAGGAGTCTGGAGGCCCTGCGTTCAGAAGACAACGACTTCACTGCAACTGTGCAGGGAAGACCAAGGGAAGCTCGATTGCCACGTCTCTCCTGGCCCTCGCGCACAAGGATTCCACAGGAGCTCTCCCCACTCTTGTCACCAATGTCACCGAGGACGCGCCACAATGCCATGGCACGGTACCGGCTAAACTCATCTCAGAACATCTCCGAACTATCCCTTCATCCGCGGGCCTGGGTTCTCAGTTTCGGGATGGTTTGGGTATGTTTGGGTGACTCTTGCACTTCCCGTCTGCGAAAGATTGCGAAAGCCGGCGGAGGCGGAGGGTCATCGAAACGAAATGATGCGCGTTTCGGGCCGGAGCCGGCCCAGGAGCTGGTGGAGGAGGCTTCGGCATGTCCTGCGCTTGGAGCAGAGCATGGAGAAACCCAGTCGGAACCCGGTCACTGAGGTCCCAGCGTGGACTCACGAAGTCCGAGGGACCGGCCACAGGGTTACCGTGCTGTCTGCCCTTCTGCTTTAGATGTTTGGCTCTTTGTTGCGATTGCTGGCCACTGTCCCACATGGTCTCTCAAGCACTGCCACAGCCGAGAGCCGGTTACAGCAAGCGGTGCGAGAAGAACTTGACCGTGCTTAGTTGCCAGGCTCCGGGTTGCAGCTTCGCAGTGAGTCTTTGCGCCGGGAAGGTTGCGAGAGCCCTGAGCACAGACTGGACTATCGAGCAAAGCTGCTGGCATGTGAGACCGTTACTTGTCACCCGCTTTGACCGAACACCAAAGACGACGCGTACCGTGTAGCGTACGTAGACTTCATGGATGGAATGCTGACACTCGTTTGTAACCCCCGGTCTGTGGGACAGATTGAAGAACTGTTCCATGCAAGCATCTGTAGGACAGAACGATGAGAAGCTATCCACTTTCACGGGCCTCGAATCCGTTTTTTGGGCGCTGCGTTGTTCTGCAGTGGTGGTGAGTGGAGTCGGCCGGCATTGTCGGCAAGTGCGCATTCCTTTTCTTCTCCCACTCCAAGAGGCTTCGCTCCGTCTGCTGAAGGGGACGCTGCAGAATCCACAACTTGACACCTACAAAGGGACTCCGCCAAGCGTCTTTCACTCACACTGTCTACACTTCAAATACTTCAAACATTGCAATTGACTTTCACTTCCGGCTTGGTAGGCAGAGACCACAAGTCAAGTGCACTGAGGATTGCCACTTGGAAAGGGGCTGTTCATGGTTGTCCGAGGCACAACACAGAAACCCATACCTATGAAGACATAGATACAGAGAGCTTAAGCTTATTTCACATCGCTGTTTCTTACTTCTTGCTTTCGTCCGCTCGGACGACTCCCCTTCCAGACGCCCGGCTCCTGCAAAATCGCACTGCGTGGGCCATCGAAGCACTGGATGCAAATTCCAGCAGAACCGAAGCAACAAGTTCACGAGGGGGGAGTCGCTTATGTCGTAGAGCGGAAGGCACAGGCGCTAGGCTACAGTAGGCTTTACAGGCGATTCATCTCCGCATCTCCCTGCGCTTCGGAGGCCAACGAGTTTTTGGTAAAAGAGGCCAACGGGATGGCGCTCCTCGGGAGCGCCAACCAATTCCCGTCTGAGCCGATGAGAATCCGAGAAACCCGTCCCAGTCTTAGTCGTGACCGAAGCAGGGCACGGGGGTGTGCAAGGGGTGCACCGCTGCGGTTCCAAAAGGCCTCGGCATTTCATTCATTTCTTTATCAAGCCTTCCAGACAGTCTGCAAGCAGTGCAGTTGCCGCCTCCCACTTCGGGGCAGCCATCACCGGGCGAAGACCTAGCGGCAGCGTTGGATGCAATCCAAGGATTCAGCACGTTGACGTCTTGCCTCCTGCCCTCGCTTGGAGACCTCACAGACACAGCAGGCAGGTCTTCGCATTGCCGTGACTCGGCAGCCGCACCGGCAGAGGCGCAGAGGCTCCTGCGGCCTCAGCGACAGAACGCACAAAGCGGGTCAGTGCGGAGGGCTGTGGAGAGCTTAGTCTGCTGCACTCCAAGGCATGGATGCGCTGCCCAGCCTTTCGCAAGAGACTTTCGCCATACGTGGCAACACGTGCAGCATAGAATCGCACCTTGAGCTCAAAGAGCTCATCGGCCCAAAGCGCTCACCCGCCGCCGGCATTGGCGTCGGGGTGGTTTGAAGCCCGAAGCCTATGTTTCCAGACACCGTCTTGGTCTTGGGCGCGTCGCCAAAGGGGTAGGCGAAGGGATGAGCTGGAGGTAAGCCGTTTGCGGACAGGGAAAGGTTTGCCCCTGGTGCAGTGCCCGCTGGAAGGGCATTGGGGCCGACCGGCGCCACGGCTCGGGGCCCGTGTCCAACCCGACCCAGCTCCTCTTTCCGGACGTTCGCAGTGCCCAGCTCAGGGACTTCCGGGCCACCAAAACCTGCCCAACTAGGACAATGCTCACGGCTTCTCCAGTTCCTCCGGGCCTGGTGCTTCGAGGATCTCGAGGCTTGACACCTGCGCAGCGGTGGACGACTAGTGGCTTCAGCTCGAGTTCGGAACACTTTGTCCATTTAGCTTTGGCCTGTGGCTCGCGGTAGGGCCTGGAGTTACAAGATGCACTGACTTGCAAAGAGCGCTTCCTTTCAGCTTCCGGCTGCTTTGGAGGTGGTGCCTAAGCTGCCAATGGCATGGCAGAAACGATTCGTGGTTTTGTGGAAGAATGCGAATCTGGGATCCTTGCCGTAACTCTGGGGACCTGCAGATCCCACCTCCGAACAAGACAGGCATCCTGTGGCGAATCCCTGGCCTATCCTTTTCGGCACAGGCATCCAAGAATCCACCGATTGTGCGAACGCATGCGTTCACCTGTAATTTTCAGCTTCGGCAGCATTGCTCCCTGGCCTCTGTTCCCGGGGCTCCTCTTCACCTTCTTCTTCTGAGTCGCCTGTGCAA